TCATGTCATGGAACTAGTGCCTGGTGATGGCCGCTGCCAGCAGCATCCTTGCAAGATAACGGACCTTACGCTGCACTCTACAGGCCCAGTCCAAACCCTCAGATGGTGCTGAACTGAAGTCGAATGGCATTGCCTAAAGCTGGAAATTAGGAAGGTGCCAAGTCTAAACGACTCAGCCAACTCCGAGGCAGATCCGTTTACTGACTCCTGGCATTGCCGGGGCCGACACGTTGGGTGGGCCATGGACCGTAGGTGGCGGACCTAGTTCTCCTCGTCTTCAGCCTCTGCACGCACACTCCTTTATATGACGCCGCGTCCTGGTTACCACCATACGGCCCATGCAGGATGAAAATCTGCTTCATTAGGTTCTTCAGATTCAGACGCCAATTACCTCAGATCACAGGTGATCTAAGCAAGGAGCTGTGAAAGGTCTTCGTCACTTATCAGCTATGCACGTATCAGCGCATGGCTAGTCGCCCGTGGTCGAAAATGCAAAGTCGTAAATGATGTGCAATGTGCATTGTATCGGAAACTCTTACACTTAAGACGTGTACTGGTATCTGTCCCCACTGAATAAATGGAATAGTAGGTACATGGTTGGTAGGCATGGAAAGAATCGACGCTTTGGAGTTTATGTTTTTGGATTAGAAGTTGATATTTTTGGGTAGAACACCCAGATTTATTCTACGTTGTCTCATACGTGTCTCATCGTAGCCGTCAGCGACAGTAGCGGTGGAACACCTTCAATTAAGGGGGGCACTGCCGACTTTTGGTCCCATTCTTTCCATGCAACGCCCCTAGGGCTAATGTTAAAGTGCCAAAATCAAAGGGGGGCACGGTGCCCCGGTGCCCTCCCCGTTCCGCCGCCTGTGGTCAGCGATCAGGACGGCGTGTCTTGTGGAAGTATACGGTCAAAATGGTTTGATCGTTTTTGAATTACATGGTTTGAAGTCCATTCGGAGCCATAACTTGTGAGATGTATCCTGAGCTAATTTGCGGAAACTTTAATTGTATGGACACAAAAAGCCTGTCACGAACTGAGATGTGGCAACTGAAACGTCATATTTAAGTTTGACCTCACAGGCCATCAAAGGTCACCAATACCAAAGGTCACCAAAGGTCACATGAAGGCAGAAGATATCAAAAATGATTACACGCCGACCAGAATGATACCAACAACAGGAGCAAAACATCACGGCGCTTTTCACCAAATGTTGCAATATCGACTTGCATTGATCGCTAGTAAGGCATTAAACCGGAACCACGTGATGGAGCACATCGATCTGGATGAAAAAGGAGCGCTCAATGACCCCTTTACCCGACTTTCAAACAAAAAGTTTGCCTTTGGTGCGATTTACTATCAGCGTAAAATAGGCATATTTATAGGTAAATACGCAAATTTCAATCTCAATTCGCGACCCCTAAACCACCTTTGATTTCAATATTTTTGGCATCATTGGAATCAGGAGCCGCGAAATAATGGGAAAAACCACCCCCACCCTCAAATTTCCAAAATCGGGAAAAATGGGTACCCCTAATGAACACATTCCAGACATATTGTGATTTGTCTGTGATGCGTGATCGAATTCAGTGCACGTAATCACCCCCCCCCCCCCCCCCACACACACACATTCACGTAAAGTAGGTCTTTTACAGGAATGTCTTGTCGACTTGCCCACACTATCCCCAATATAACTAACTGTCCGTATTCTAACAAAACTAACACGTGAATCCTTATCCGACCAATCCCGTTTGACAGTGCCATAAATTATAAATTGTTCAATGTGTGTTCCCAAATTATATTCAATAAACGGAACGGAACGGAACTATTCTTGTCTATCAAGCTCACCGAAGCTATTACTATATCCACAAAAATATGTTCATGTAATTAGTATGTGAGTGCATGTTGGTTCGCCATGACCGTTGACACTCGCTCTATTTCCCTTTCTCCCTCCCTGTTGTGCAGTGAGCGAGATGCGTCGCGGCGCGCTCAGCCTGGACGTGTCCTCCAAGTCGGACCGCGCCGAATGGGGCGAGATCAGCTACGAGAGCTCCTTCCGACCGGACCGGGCGTACCAGTTCTGTATCAACTGGCTGGTCGGCACCGGCAGCCTCATCTCCGACCTGGTGAGAAGGTCCAGGCTCTTCGTAATAAGCGAAAAATTAGTGCATTGTTACCGTTACCGACATAGATAATAGATACGGGGAACTACTGAACATGATCACTAAGGTAGTCATATCTGATAGTGGATCGTATTCTGGGGTAGGTAACAGTGTGCCGTGGGACTTATATGCGATTCTATCTCTAGCCAAGCAGTAACATATGTACATTCTACAGCATGTACTTGCTCACATGAACCGTAGAATGTGGATGGCTCGATCGGCATGATAGTGTCGTATCTGACATGGCGTGCTAACTCTGCCCGTGCAGGTGGTGGGCTGGCAGCGGCGCGCGCACAACTTCGGCCTGCGCCTGTTCCCCGTCCCGGCTGTGATGTGTCCTGGCGATCAGGGGGATATCGACCCGCTGCGCATCGCCGTGCCGGTGCCCATCGCGCTCGACCAGCTCCGACGGCCCGGACGGCCGCTCTTTGACGGTGGGAGGCGGGAAATATGTACATTTGTCGGCGGAATGGTGGTGGGATCCACCTGCTGGCTAATGTGGGATGAATGTTGTATGATGTATCAATACATTATCAGCGCGGCCTGTTCTATGCTGATTGTTGGCGACGATTATGATAAATGCGTTTCGCTTTTAAAAAGTGTTTGCCCTTGTGTGCTCCATCTGTAGGCATAACGGGCTGAGGCATGCGATGAGAAAGTGATCAATAAGAGTTGGGTATTTATGTTTTTTATGTGGACAGGTTTCGACCCGGCGACCTGGCCGGAGCGGCTGCTGCTGCTGCAGACGGCCATATTGGAGCAGTTCAGCTTCGTGCGGGTGCGCGGGCCGCGACCGGAGCCGCCGTACCAGTTCGTACACAGTCACGGTCACTGCTTCGTGCAGATCCTGGAGCCCGAGTTTGGGGAGGACGGCGACCCGGTCAAGGTCAGTCGCAGCTGTTCACTGTGCAGTTGGACCGTGCTAGAGTCTGACAGCTAGAATATATTTACAATCAGATTTTGTTATCAGTATCTGTTTTGCAGTTTGGTTTCATGGTGGTATTTTATGTTGTGTTTACGCTGTTTACCGTAGTAACGTGTCGTTCTCGTTGCGTATAACGGTTTCCGGTTGGCTCCTCTACCTCAGGCTCATTATCCGCCAGTTTTGAGCGTTCCTATGAGACTGACCCAACCCTGCCCACCAGGCCGACCTGCAGTGGCTCAACAACAGTCTGATGTCGCGCCGGTGGCGGGTCGGGGACGACTCGGCCGACCGGCTCATGGCCGAGCTCACCGCCTTCTGCCGTAACGACGACGACCGGCTGGTGCTGTTCTGGCGGCAGGCGCACACGGAGGCGCTGCTGCAGCAGCCCACGCCGCCTCCCTGAGCGAGGTTGCCCGATGGAGCAGATCACCGTGCAGGGTAGGCGCGCCACGGTCGTTCGCGATGGAGACTAGAAAGCTATATGCTTGTACAATAGACAAAGCTGCTGTTCTTATCTCCGAAAAATAATAGGATGGAGAATTACTGAGAAGTGCGACGACCACGCTACATAGCTGTTATCTGCAGTGGCTGAACTGATGTAACGTGATTGTTACGTTTGCCTACAGATCAGGCGCCGGCTCGGCCGCTGCGATGCCCGCCTCCCAGAGGTCGATTCCGTGGCCGCGGGGTCGGCTGCAGAAGTGGTATCCTGGTATCCACTGCGCCCGTTGTTGTGGAAGTGTGTTACAACCTGATGCAGGCGCATCTCATGTTCCAGTCATTGTATTCTATCATATCTGGGGAAGCTATCATGTTACATTGATATATTGTCATTTGATAAGGGATGTTATCTCATGGTTGCGCAATGCGCATGCTTTATATGTGATAAACAGTGCCGTGTTATGGATTGGGGTACGACGAGGCCAAGGGGCTGGCGAAGTATATGTCGTGCGTAAGTGTCGATGCCCGAGCTAAATGCAACAGTAGACAGAGTGCTACCGATACGATCCGGAGTGGGTTGCATCATTCTTGTGAGAGAAAGTGCAATGTTACGAATATGTCGCCGTAATAAACGACTGTAACTGGTCAGCTTTTTTTGCCTGGGGCATAATGTTTTCCAAGTCCAGCCTTACCTGATCCAACCTTTTTTCCACAAGAAAGAAATTGGATGGGAAGCGAGTGGCTGAATTTCGCTTTTCAGTGAATCAGCATCAAAGTAGTGGAGATACGGTGTGAGGTAGATTTGGTGTAAGGTGAATGCATCTCGTACCAAAATTACTATTCACAGCTTGATTTGGTGAAAAATGAGGGTGATTTGATACATTCGCACTAGTTTTGGGTACGGAATAGATTTTCCGTGGATTTTCCGTGGATTTTCCGTGGAGTAGTAAAGTAATCTTGGATTTTCCCATTATAGAGTTCAGTGGTCTGGTATTGTAGTTTATTTCTCCATAATATACTAAAATCCTTCTAGATTTAGTAGGGATGCCTAAACATCTACCAAAAATAGTGCGAAATGACTACTATTAAGTGCTATTCAAACTAAAAGTACTGCGATTTAGACTGAAAGCAGTGCTAAAGGTGTTAAAACTGGTTAGGTGCTAAATGACCCTGTTATACCTCAAATTAACTGGAAATGCCTAGTTTTGCCGAAAATACCACAAAATGACCGGTTTTTAGTGCTGAGAAAATTACCATCCAGTGGATTTTCCCAAAACCAATGATCTGGTTTCATAAACGTTTTGAAGTGCACGCTATATTTTGAAAGCCCTGCAGTTCAAATGTAGCATATTGACCACGGTGAAGTGCATATAAATATAAACAACTCTCGAGGAACCGAGGTAGCCTTGCGAGAGGAACCCACTCAAAGCACTCAAATCGCAGATGACGTCATATTCTGATACCTCAAAATGCGTGGTGACACGACCTGTCAAATACGCTTCCTTGAATGTTGCGAAAATGGCTCGCGAACAACAACACGTGGGTTGGCCACGAATTTCTTAAAATATTGGCACGTGATATGTTATGTTATGCTAAAAAATAGTAGTATTTTAAGTGAAGCAGCCTGACTGGATATCCGGTAAGTTGGTATCTTAGCAACTGGGCTGTCCATAGATCTGTCAAACTGACCGCACAGTGGATGTTACCGGTACGGGCTTCAGCTTCCGCTTTTGAGAGTAAGAAAAGAAGGCTTATTCTTGTGACGTGCAGCAATTTGAAAATGAAAGAATTATGGCAGGACATGAAGGGCCCAACTTAGCCGTAAAGTAGGCGTCACATGGTGTTCTCTTTCCCATATACCACAATTTTTTCATGTTTTTGTTATTTTGACATCATTTTCATAACATACGTTGCGCAACTTTTACCGAAAAGGACAGCAAATATTTTTAATACAGCTGCGTTTATTGTCTCAGTTGCGCCGGTGTGTTGCCTCAGTTGCCTTTTGGGCGAAGAAGAGCGAGCGAGATAGTGAGCCCTGCACGTATGCGGAAGGGCGAGAGGGTACTTCCAACAGACTTGTGCAAAGCACCCTTCTAACCGGTCGCTAGCGGTGTGCCAAATTTGAATGCAATCGGCCCAGCCGTTCCTGAGATCTGGAAGTGGCATTCTGCACGTGCGCACGTGCAAACGGGTCCAAAATGACTTTTGCACTGCACCCTACTAACCGGTCCCCAACCATGTACCAAATTTGAGTGCAATCGGCCCAGCCGTACTCGAGATCTGGAAACGCCCCCTGCATGTGCTCACGTGCAGTAACACCCTAACTGCAACACATGGGAATGCATTGCTTGAAGAGTGCCTACCTGTATGCCAAGTTTCAGCGAAATCGCCCCAGTAATTACCGAGTTATTGAAATGGGAACAAATTTGACACCTCTTATAGTTGTATTTTGCACGTGCACTGGGGGTAACCCTCATGCATCGAGAGTATCCTATTTTTGGTAGAAGGGATGCTGCTACCTTACAAAAATCACCGCAAGTCAATCGCCCAAGCGGCTGCTGAGATATGAGCCTCTCAAAATCACTATTTTTGCAAAACTGCTTGAACACCCTTGACTTTTCACGTGGCACGTGCCACGACGGTCACTGAGATGTATCAAATGTAGTCAATTACGGGGTAGAAGGGATGGGGCTACCCAGCAAAAAAGACCGCTGGCCAATCGGTCCAGCGGTTGCTGAGATATAAGCCTCTCAAAAGCGTTACAGGCCGGGCCGGGCCGGGCCGCTCATACTGAGATTTTTCCGTTATATTGAAAAGATTTCGCTGCGCTCGCTGCGCTCGCTCGCTCGCTCGTAACCAAAATGCTTTTGTTAAAGGGACCCTCCCACCTTAACATTAGTTTTGAGTTGAGATAGCCAAATTGGTGGCCATGGCCTGAAAATACCGGTTTGGGCATTCACAACATCGAAAAATGCTTTAATTCGGAGATATGGAATTTCAAACTTGCAGTTTTCGGATTCTAAGGGGCTAATGCATTGGTATGCCCCCTTAGAATTTGTGACGTCAGCGGAGATCTAACGATTTTTAAATCTTTTACTAAAACGTTTGGCAGCACGCGGTGGTATATGCTGCTTTGCGCGCAACAAATGCCGCACTTTCAAATAAAGTCGCTAGGAACAGCGGAGATCCCAAAAAGTAAACAAAAGTAAAAGTCTAATATCTTGAAAACCGGTGAAAATTTTTCGATGAAATTTGGTAGATATTCATTTTTGCTCTTTCTGAACCGAGCGACATCACTTTCATGCCAATTCATTAACTTTTTTGAAGGTGGGAGGGTCCCTTTAAGGTTACCTAATATGGAATTGTCAATGTTTATATGCCAATGGATGAGTGCTATTTAGTCATGCCTGTTGACAATTCAATTTGTGTTACAGGAGAAGATGGGACCACTTACACCATCTGAAGGGACCACAAAAGGTTCTGTGACTTTGAAGAATAATGTCCCATCAAAGATTCTTAGCTTGTTCTCAGACCTCACTGAGCATGACACTGAGAAGCGCTTGAAGTCTGTTGTGCTTCTCATCCATCAAGTAGTGAATTCTGAAAAGAAAGTGGTAAGTTCCTTGCTTTCAGCTTTTTACTTATTTGGAATTAGTTATTCAGTGGTTATGGTCTTATACATCAGTTCGTGACTTAAGTCATGAACTTCCCTGGTAATTACCAGGGAAATAAGCTAAAATTGGAGCGCTCTGTTTATATGATCCTGTGTTACAGCACTGTGACAGCACTGCCTGACAGGGGGGGGGGGCTTACACCCCCCCCCCCCCCGCCCTATACCGTCGAAGGAAACAAAATGGCTTGTGCTGGCGAGGGTTAAGGGATGAATTTATCTGATCCCAAAATCCAAATATTGCTTGTCTATTGGCGGAGCAGTTACCGAGATATAAGCTGGTAAAAAGCATCATGATTCATGGGGCCAGGCTGGGTCGCTCATACTAGGTAAGCTTTTCCCATTGTACCACATATAAACTTGCTCGCTCCCAGCGTCCCCACACTCAATTTTTAAGCGCAGATAAAGGTAGATGTTTTACACGAAATAAGTCCTAGCCAACCGTGCCCAGCCAAGATGCTGTTTATCCAGCTGTTTATGACTGGCTGTTCCCGGCACCGGTGCCGGCGCGGGAGAAGTCTGAGCTCCCTGCGCTGGCGTTCGGTGAGCTAGGACCGATTACTGGACGGAGAGTTTACTGAACTGCCTCGCTTTTGCGACCGCAATTCTCACGTCTGACCCATGATCAGGATGATCTCTCTCTCTCTCTCTCTGCTGGGCCGGATGCATTTGAAAATTGTGATTCTGTGCGAGGCCGCTTGTAGCTACTTGGTACCCATACCAAATTTCATCGCTGAATTTCAAGGTGTTCAAGAAGGTGTTCAAGAAATTCGACGCAGAAGCATGGCTGGTGGCTGTCGATGAACATTCGGGACACCCTGTAAACAGGGCTGATCTTGATGCCGTACACTCGGTCCGCGCCTCTTCCTCAGGCGGTGCCTCTGACCGGTTCATCGCCAGAGGCACGTGCCCCCCCCCCCCCCCGCCCCATCTCTGACTCCACCACAGGTAAACAAAGGTACGAACTCTGAACTGGTGCAGCTCCGGCAGCAGTGGGGCGCGTGCCGTCCGTCCCGTCCGTCACTAATCAGCTCCCCGTCCCTGGGAGCTGATTAGTGGGCAGTGGGGCTGTTCAAAAAAACCGAATTTTGGAAAAGTATACGGGCTCATGGCTCGTGTGGTGAGGTATTCTTTTCTGAGTCCAACGATGCCCTTTTTTCCGAAAAATATTAACTGCTTCATGCTCCCCAAACGGCTTGAAGAGGACCATGTCACGCCCGGCGACCGGCCGGTGTCAATAAGGGCGAGAATTCGCCGCCGCGCGCGGGCGGAAGCGCCCTATCGGCACCGCGCGCCACGGCATGTACCGGGCGGCCGGCCGGCCGGTGGTGGGAGGGAATGCATGGTCTTCTTTCACATGATAGGGGTGCGCTAGCCCATATTGTCAGAGTGGAAAGTTTCAGTGCAGCATCGTTGTCTCTGCTGCGGTGTTCTGTGTCGATGGTTCAGAAAATAGGCCAAACAGAACTAAGAAAAGACTCAATGCCTCTGGCTACATAGTTCATTCGAAATATCTCGTTTCGAGAATACAGCGCGGTGTTTCGCGGCCGCTGCTACCACGCTGCCAACAGGCTGACTACATCGTCCGAGTTTGCTGATATCTCCATGAAAACCCAATTTGACACGAGGCTGCTAGCGAGCAGTAATCGCCACGCACTTTGAGAATGTGGATCGATCATGGTTGTTCAATACAATAGCGCTCGTGAAACAGGGCGCAGCTGCCACTCAACGAACCATACCGCTTTGTTCATTAGTCAAGAAGCGAACTGAGCAACAGCACAGCTCTATGTACTGCTGTTGACAACTTACATTGCTTTTAGACGTGACGGTGGCTTGCAGCCCACATATGCTGTTGCCAACTGTATGCGAAAATTTGAAGTTTACTAAGAACAGCAGGAGCTGGCAAGGTGCAAGGACAGAATATGGTGACCCCGACATCGACGTTACGTTTAGCAGGTACATTTGCAGTGCAAAAAAGGATGACATGCCCGGGAATGACGCGGTGGCCGCCCTGATTTGTGACGGAGTTGGACGTGAGTAGAGTCAATGGCGGGAGTACACATACAAGTCAAGCGCCCCTCAATCCAACCCTTCGGGCAGCAGCGGCACCAGCAACCCGGCCATGTCCACAGATGCCGTTCAAGATCCGAATCCAGAGCCGGCATAGAGCACGGCTCTGCCCTGACGTGACATATGTATATCCCCGGCGTGTCACGACGGACAGACTATTACCTCGCCTGTATAAATACAACAATGTATACAGTAACCTTACCTATTTCCAAGTCTCATGTTGAGGCGAGAAGCGATCAGCGTCCAGTTCAACTTCGACGAAGACTCGTATTCAGACCCGGCAAAGAGAGCACGGCTCAGCCCTGTTTCCGCGGCTTCTAATGGCCACATCCATACGAGACATCTCCAATAGTCTGTTTCACCTACTACAAAACCAGGTTGCTGTGTTGCGATTAGCACGATACATTTGTTGCGTAGATATCTGTTAAATGCGTAACTAATCAGAAATAGGAAAAGTAAATATTGCCATCGTCATTCGCCAAACAGGCGAGGTCAAGCACAAGTCTGTCCGTCATGACACGCCGGGGATATGTGTCACGTCTCAGGGCAGAGCCGCGCTCTGTGCCGGCTCTGGATTCGGGTCTTGAACGACACCGGCGGGCATGGCCGGGCTGCCGGTGCCGCTGCTGGATTGAGCGACGCAATTGGTTTATATGTGTACTCCCGCTATTGTCTCTACTCACTTCTCACTTCGTCACACTGTCAGGGCGGCCACCCTGTCATTCCCAGACATGTTATCTTTTCTTTCGAACTGATAATCTAAGTAAAACAAACATCAATCCTGTTGCTTCAGCATTTCACTTCAACGAAACTGCATGACATTGGTGACGCCGATGCTGGTCAGAGCCATGCCCCAAAACTTGGGCCAATGACTGTGCGAGGTCTCCATATTCTGTGCTTGCACACTGCCAGCTCCTTCTATCCCTCATAAATTTTCGCATACAGTTGCGCAGCAGCATAGTTGGGCTGCGAGGCACCGTCCAAATGCAATGTACCTATGTTGTCAACAGCAGTGCAAAGAGCTGTTTATTGCTCCGAGCTTGCAGCTTGACGAATAAACAAAGCGATATGGTACGCTAAGGAGGCAACTGTATTCTGTAAACGGAATGTTTCGGGTGAATTACCCGAAATTGCGTCGAGTCTTTTAATAGTTCTGTTTGGCTTATTTTTAACAATGGACACATAACACCGCAGCAGAGGCACCGATGCTGCACTGAAGCTTCCCGCTCCGACAATATGGGCTAGCGCACCCCTATCGTGTGAAAGAAGACCATGCATTCCCTCCCACAACCGGCCGGCCGGCCGCCCGGTAGATGCCGTGGCGCGTGGTGCCGATAAGGCGCTTCCGCCTGCGCGCGGCGGCGAATTCTCGCCCTTATTGACACCGGCCGGTCGCCGGGCGTGACATGGTCCTCTTCAAGCCGTTTGGGGAGCATGAAACAGTTAATATTTTTCGGAAAAAAGGGCATCGTTGGACTCAGAAAAGAATACCTCACCACACGAGCCATGAGCCCGTATACTTTTCCAAAATTCGGTTTTTTTGAACAACCCTAGTGGGCAGACCTCACCCTGACTCCGGCCTGTGCAGTTGCACCACATTCCACTGTGTTTGGTGACATGGACATAGGTCATATCACTCGTAAAATATGTGGCTGTTGATTATCAATCGGACGAGTGGCGTGCGATGGTGTTTGTGCCAAACCAGCGAAACAGGCAGATATACATGTCCACAGATTGGTTGCAGGTGTCGCAAATGGTGGGCATGCTTCCTCTGGGAGCAGTGGAGTCCTCCGGTATGGGTAATGAGGGCCTTTGGAAAAACCATAGAGACCACGACCAGAGACTCTTTAGAGACCACGACGTTCCTGCTGAGACAGCCAAACATAGTGACTGTTTGGTCCGGCGAAATTACGATGACAAAGCCCAGAATTCAGGCTAGTCCACGCCAAACTCACCCAGTGAGCATCCGTAGTTAAGTTGGTTCATGCTAACTCCATGTAGCTGGTTATTATTTCGTACAATTGTGCAAAAGCAAACTGCTACGTTATAGCTCCCGCCCTAGTTGGCGTTTTCGCGGCCGCTAACGTAAGGGGGGGGGGGGATTCCACTTGGACCCCGAGCCATTTCACGGAAAGATTGTGAACCTCACAGCTGTCGAGTACCTAGCTAAAGACAGGACAGGCTTGAAAAGAGGATCCAGTGACAGTATTGGGGATCCAGTTGGCAGTATTTACGCTGAAACTATTATTTGCCCCATCAGAGGCTACTTTGCAGACATCAGCCTCACAGCTTCTTCACTCCAGTGCTGATAACTGGCACCAATCTGTTGTTTACAGCAGGCCTCTGATGGCATTGGCCCGACTGCCTCCTACTGCCTGACTCGGCTGGTGCGCGGCCTGGCCTCCTCCCGTGCCGGCGCGCGCGAGGGCTTCTTCACGGGCCTGGTGCTGCTGCTGCGGCGACTGCCGGCCTTGGACACGGCGGCGCTGCTGGCCGCCGTGGACGCGCACCTGCCGGACGTCCGCGGCGACCCGCGACAGGCCACAGAGCACCGGATCGGCCGTCTGCTGGCCGCCGGCGCCGCCGTCCGCGCCGGCCACTGCTCCCAGCTGGACCGGCTGACGGCGGCCCTGCTCGAGGGCTGGCACCACCGCGCCTACATGCCGCCCATGGTGTCCACCTTTATCGAGGAGCTCCTGCTGCGGGTGGGTCAGGTTATATGGCGGGGTGTCCTGAGTCGTGAGACGGAGTGGTGTAACTAGTTGATGTCTGAGAAAGGGTGTGTTGTGACCGTGAAAAGACGCGTGCTAGTTTGCTGTGAAATGCATGACATACATAGGTGAGGTATAAGGTCGTGTGCTGTGAATTATATCATTTCGTGAGTCTGAACGGCGCGTCGTGATTTGTTGATCGATGTTCTGCCGTGACGACAGGTATCTGAGGAGCAGTTTTCCGGCTCCGTCTGGCCGCAGCTGAAGGAGCTGCTGGCTGCCGGCTGGGACGGATGTACCCCAGAGAGACTATGGATGCTGCTCGTTAGCCGACGCCAGTTTCCCGATGTCGTGGATTCACGATTCTTGAAACAGCACTGGGGCTCCAAGAAGGTGTTCTCGCCGAAAAATTACGAGAACATCTTGCAAATGATTAAGGTAGGGTTAAGTTGCGCTAATGTCCACCCTACCGATAGACTTTGAGAATTGAGAAACATGTATCTTTGGGTTGTATTCCCCCTCACCATATTGTTCATTTGATGTATGAGCTCCGAAGTCTGTCGCATCACTGGGTGATATCGTGGTCTCATTTAAGAATGTCAATCTGTTGAGTATTCCCTCCCATTGGTGTGTATGCTGTGACTACGATGGTCTGTGTCGGCGCCTCTCAGGTGTCTGCCGGCTCCCTGCCGGCCATCCACCCGCTGGTGGGCTCGCTGGCCACTCTGGCCGTGGAGCGGTCCCCGGCCGAGCTGCTCAGTTTCGGAGCCGCCGTACTGGAGCCACTGCTGGACGACCGGACGGCCGACGTCGCCCTGCTCGCCATGGCCATGGTACAGCTGATGGTGGCGCACCTGAACACACCCGAGATGGTGAGGAATCACACGTGCAAATAAGTGAAACGTGTGTGAAAATGATAGGCTATCTACTAGATACAGTCTGTAGAAGTAGAGTGCTTATCCTAGACTAAAACGTCTTGACTACTAATTGACTTGTGATTCATATTTCACACCTCGCTCTGATTACCTGAGGTCCGTCCGTATGATGAGCTTTGCATGACGATGGCAGTGACGGTAATGATAAGCGACGACGATGGCGATGGCGACTAAAACATATGATACCTACATGTAGATGTATGTATTTGCGTATGCGTCGGCCGTGGTCGAGTCTGCACCGGTGACCGTCTGCCGCCGGGCTGTGCCGCCGTGTTGTCATATCTGGCCGCGTTTCTCTCCGTGCGTCAGCTGGAGTCGGTGCTGACGCCGGCGCTGGTCGGCGCGCTGGTCCGCCTGCTGCCCAAGCGGGACCGGCGCACGGAACAGGTGGCGCGCGGCCTCGGCTCGGCGCTGGTGGGCCGCGTGCTGGCGCCGGACAGCAGTGCTGAGCTGCAGCTGACCGTCATCAGCCGGCTGGTCAGCCCGCCCGGCTCCATCAACTTCGACCACATGACCGGTCAGTAGTCACCTGGGAAGCACACATGACACAACAGTACTGTTCATATCCTCTGACCGGTCAGTTAACACCTCGCAGGCGCACAACTGTTTCCTATCCTCCGCTGGCATCTTCAGTTCATACAGATAATCAGAATATTATGTTGTCTTTTGTTGCCTTTATGTTGTTTGATATCACAGCTTATGGTTAGTTTCTACAACCAAGTCTACGGCATATAACGGGCTCCGTTTACTGTTAAGTGTATCGTAAAAAAAGAAATAGGTACAATGTGGAATAGTTGGCTGCTAAACAACGTAGTCCGGACGTCCTTAAATCGAACCGTCTTCTCATGATTTTTGGTTTCTACAGGGACGAAAATTCTGGCTCAGATGCTGAATGGTCTGAAAGCGGATGCACTGGAGCCCTTCAGCAAGACTGTTCTGAGCTGCTTTGAAGGCACAAGTAGTGACCGGAATCTGGTGAGTCACTCAGCCACTCACCCACCCTCTTTTCTCTCCCTCTCTCTTCTTTCTTTATATTTAGTATTGCATTGCAAATAAAATTGCAACGAATACAACGATTGTAGTGCTCAACCACGTGGAGTACAATGACGTAACATTAAGTTCACTCTGTGAGGACCTCATACACCATTGCATTATTTCTTGCCGATGTGTCTAGCTGTTCCGCTTGCCACGCTCGGCGACTTTGTGTTGGTCTCAGTGAGCTCGGTATCACCCCCGTCGTCTCCCTTTAGACGCCGCGCGGCCGGGCCGTGGCCTGTGACCTGCTCTGCCGGCTGGTGCAGCACCCCAGCGCGCCCGGCCGCACACCGCTCAAAGAGCGCCTCCTGGAGCGACTGTTCGCCGCCGGAGTGCTCCGAGACGACTCAGTGTCCGACGAGCTGGCAGCCACCGCGCTCCGGGCCTTCTTCAGGTCAGTGCTGTTCTACATTTGCTCATTCTTTTATGTGATTTAGAATTTACGCGCTTCTGAAATTCGTGTGGTCCTGTTTTCACAATTCACGGCGACTTTAGGTTTCACGCTATTTAACCTGGATTTTGACTACAAGGACCGAGTTCCTTAGCTATCGTTACGTGCTGTACATGTGCTTTCGTTCTTTTTAAATGCGCTTGTTTCGTGTTTGTGACTTATTTTTCGCCGCCACAGGGCGCTGGAGCACCCGGTGCGCCGTCTGGCCGACCTCACGGAGCTGCTGCGCGGACTGATGGAGCGCCAGCGGGCGCTGCTCCGTGCCGACGGGGCAGAGCTGCGCGCGCCGCTCTCCCCGGAGGCGCGCGCCGCCTGGGACGCCGCCGCCAAGGCGATGCGGAAGCTGAGGCCGGGCGCCGGGCCCGACACAGATGTGTTCATCATCCTGCTGGGCCACCTCAGTCAGCAGCTGTTCGGCACCGAGTGCGCCGCAGCGGTCGACGCGCTGCAGGTGAGTCGGCTGCTGGCCCGTCTGTTATCGGCTAAAACGGGCCGTGGTACGTACATCACCATCAGCGGGTCTTGGCTGTCATGTCTTGGCTGTCAACACCGCGTCGCTGTCCCGCCTACAGGAGCTGCACGCGTGTCTGGAGCGGCAGCAGCAGCTGCGCCGCTCGGCGGAGGAGCCCGTCTGGAGCGAGGTGGTGGTGGACCTGCTGCTCTCGCTGCTGGCTCTCAACGTGCACCTGCTGCGGAACGTGGTGCGGTCCGTGTTCACACTGCTGGCGCCCACCCTGTCACCCGAGGCGCTGCTCTACGCCTTCCAGGTGCTTACCGAGGAACTTGAATGAAATTTTGCTGTAATTATAACTTTCTCGATTCTGATGCTAGCATGGATGTTTTTTTATGAGCTATTGCCATATTCATGCTATTCTTTCCAACTTTTGTTTCTGTTTCGACAGCCGCTGAATCCGGACTTTAAAATGAACAGTCGGCCGGGTGATGATGCCGAGGGCGAGATGGACGAGCAGGAGAGCGGCTCTGAGGACGAGAGCGCTGGGGAGGAGGACAGTGCTGAGGAGGACGATGAGGATGAGGACGAGTGGGAGGACGAGTCGAGCGGCGCCGAGGAGGAAGGCGAGAACGCCGCAGAGGACACTGACCAGCTGGAGACGATGCGGGCGCAAGTGAAGGCCGCTCTGGGCGGCGACTCTGAGGACGATGCCGTGAGTACCGGCCCGCTTCGTGTGTCGGCCTAAACGGATTATTAACGGTTTACAGTGACCCTGAAATTTTGTGCTTGACCATGACTCCGTGATATCGCCATCATAACATGTTCAAGGAAAAAGTCGTTCTGAAAGGATCTTGGCGTTTTCATTGTTTTTATTTTGCTCACATTCAGATTTATTGGCAACTTACACTGAAGCAAAAATATTTCTAGCTACTTTCTTCCTTTATCGAGCTTCGTGGACTGTCGCCGACCGGAGGTACAGCTGAAGTGTTTGTGTCTTGAAGTGCTGTCTGAGTATTGGTCACACCAGGCTGCTCGTATCGTGTCGGCAGGTGTCTGTCGACTTGGACGACGTGCCCGAAGAACATCTGGCCAAGGTGGACGAGGCGCTTGGCGCTGCCTTCCGCGCCATGAGGAAGGACAAACGGATGAAGGGAGGGAACCGCCCGACCGACGAGCAGTTGGCCATGATGCACTTCAGGATCAGGTAGGTAGTGTGATAACGCTTCTTGGTCGTCTGACACTACCATCGTCTTACCCTAACGATTCACTGTTGAGTGTTGAAAATAAAATGTCTCACTAGCGCCTCTTTTTTTACCGAAGCAATCGCCGAAATGCTCGAGTGCTCTATCCATGCATTTCCATCCACTGTGTGAGGTTGTCAGCTGGCGCGCTCGTCAGGTGACGGTGTGGTCTCGCTGCGGCAGGGTGCTGGACCTGGTCGACGTGTACGTGCGCGCCTGTCCGCGCTCGGCGGCGGCTCTGGGCCTGCTCTCGCCGATGGTGTCCCTGCTGTCCAGCTGCGCCACCGACAGCCACCAGGCGCCGCTGCTGGGCCGTCTGCGCGCCTGCCTGAAGCGTCTGACGGCGGCCGGCGGCCGGCTGCCCGAGCGGCACGGCCTGACGCAGACCCTGCTGGCCGAGCTGCTGCAGGACGTCCTCACCAGCGGCGCCAGACGTGAGTCCCAGGCGGGCCGGGTCTGGACGGGCCGTGACTGGTCTCAGATCAAATGAAGGGAATGGACGTGGAAAATGAATAAGCTCGCTAGTTCGAGTACAACGGGACACCTGTCCACTTTGTCCTTCAACCATTTTGTTTTATTTTCTCGTTGAAATGTCATGTTCAATTTCGTTACATCCTAGACAAGTGTATTCACGATCAATGTGGTGCATGCGTTTTTGTCTAGGTCTCTACATAGTTTTTAGAAATTCTCGAATTGACTGAATATCATTTAATTGCAATATTACATTGATGTGCTGTTATCTAGATAGCCACAATGGTTGCCTCTGCTGAAATTCTCCCTGTGATGTTCTAGTGCCTGCGTTCAGCCTGGAGCTGGGCGGTCTGCTGGCGGCCGCTGTTCGTCTCCTGGTTCGGACCAGCGCCCAGCTCGGCGGTGATCAGACGGAGGTGATCTCCGCGCTGTCCACCGCCCTGGACGCCTTCTTCACAGACCGGTGAGTGGCCGGCTGTCAGACAGTCATGAGTCATCTGTCTATATTTCTGACCGTCAGCCAGATAGGCTGCTCTATCGGAAATATGTTTTCGATTTCCTTATGTTTTGTTCGTTTGAACCATGTTTGAACTGCTGGAACACAGCGTGTATAATAATTAATATTTAACACGTAACTACCCCTAATTCTAAGAACGTTTGTTATTGTGGACTGTAAATGTGCTCATGCTATGGCTGTCCTTTGACCCTCCCTCTTGCCACAATGTTGTGCTCTCGTCACTTTGTGACGGTACCCTCCTCACGACTCTGTGTATCTACAGGGAGTGTGTGTACCCGGCGCGAACGTTCGGCCAGCTGCTGGCGCTGCCCGGCTGGCCGCGCGGCTGGACGCTCGTCACGCCCCTGCTCGACGCCGCCTTCTCCGATCGCGTGCGCCCCTACCGGCGCACGCAGGCCTTCCAGCTGGTGACGACGGCCGCCAAGAACCGCGCCATGGTGGGCGCCGTGCCGTCCGCTGAGGTGGAGTCGGCAGCTGCGCGGCTGGAGGCCGGCATTCACCAGGTTAGTACAGCTGCGCCAGAATATTTTCTGATCAGCGGCCCGGCGGGTCATCATGCATAACAGGCATCTCGGTGCAGAAAAGCGGACCTAGCTAGCGCACATTATCTTGTTTAGTTAGGTGCGGCCTCTTGATTTGTTGCGAGTGCAAGAACACTGTAAAGGCTGAAACAGACTCTTTCCGCGTTCAGGAAATCGCATACGAGAGCCTATTCAAATACATGGAAGCACGCTCGCATCAATCGCACGCACCTCCCGCAAGCGATTGATGCGATAAGAATTATAATGTATTTGAATAAGCTCTCGCATGCGATTTCCTGAACGCGGAAAGAGTCTGTTTCAGCCTTAATAAAAGAGTTATGTGACTTGACTCCCTCCCTGCCTTGCTTTGACGTGCTTTCCGGTGGCCCCTCCTCCCTCAGCTGGTGTCTGACGTATCGGCGGCGGACGGCGTGCGCACCAAGTACGTGACGTGCGCGCTGGAGGCGCTGCTGGCGCTGCGCCGCGCCGCCGGACTGACCCGGCCCGTCACACAACTGGCCGCCCAGCTGACCGAGCTCGGCCAGAAGTTCTCACTCAGCAAATACACCCGGTCGCTGATCGCCCGACTGGCCCAGACCGGTCCGCGGTACGTCCAGCTCAGGCAGCGAGCACTCATACAGCACATCCTTGTGTATATACGCTGCATACATGCATATTGCGAACTCTACAATCTTTCTATCGATCCTTGCAGTGCCTGCACCAATTAAATTATTGTTGGGCTGGAAGTAGTTGACGCATTTCCTCCAGTGTCCTCATTGCTGCCGTAAAAGCTAAAAGTAAAAGCTTGTCGGTGCTCTTGAACACCTCGCCCCCGTCTGGTTTACTCTTTTTTCCAACGCCGTTCTAACTTGTTGACGCTTTGGGAATTGAGTTTGCACGAGTTTCCCAATATGCAACTCGAAACTTCTTGTTTCTTATACCTATGGGAAACAAATCCTTGCCTTGCTTCTTGTTTGTTGTCAGTTCGCAGGTGGGGAAGGGGAGTTTGGAAGCGGGAGGAAACTTGAGGAGCGTGTTCGTGCCGCGGGCGGATGAATATTCGTGAATGAATTTTACGTGCATATCCGTGAGACAATTTCGTGTCTGTGCATTCGCACCGGCAACTTCCAGGGTTCATTACAGGCTCAACAATTGAGTTCAGCAACGATAAAAGCAACCACGTGCTGAAATATTGGACCCTGTTTCAGACCTGAAGGGATGAAAAACGCCAAATTACCGAAGAATAACGGCACCGCTGCGGCGCCGGCCGATGTGTCTGAGCCGGTCCAGGATCGGCCGCGGAAGCGCGCGGGCAGCTGCCGGTCGACAGCGGTGGATGAGGGTGATGGCAGCGTGGACAGTGGCGTGGAGGAGGTGGCCAGCGATGCCGAGCCGCCCAAAAAGAAAAAGATACGGCCGGCAAGAGTGGTCGCGTGACGGCCTAGTCGAGGTGTTGTTAAACGTTTCTTGACGTGAATACAGGGGGTGCGAGCGGGAACTTTTTGTATTTTGATGAATTTGAATGAAGGGTAGTGATCATGTGTTTGGAGCGGACGCGTCTTTTAGCTCTCACGGTAGGCACATAATAATTGTTCAACTTGTTTTCGCCCTATCATCCCACAAAGTTGGAACGGTATTGAAAGCAAATTCAGTTGGGCAAACTAGACTTTTGGAATCAAAATATGGAGGCATCAATAATTTGATTCTGGTGGGAGGAGCCATGACCAAATATGGGCATGGAATCAATTTTTTGATTCATTTGGGTACACTTTTGACTTCAAATGAATCGTTACGGTTGAAAAAAGGCCCATGACGGTGAGATTTTTCTTTTAAAAGGTAGAAAAATGTGGTAGGTTTGCAAAAAGTGTTACCTCAAAGCTAAGAAATTGTCCCTTTGGCCTTGTGAATGGGAAAAAGACAGAGCCACTATCCATCACGTAAAAGCTGTTTTGAGGAAATCACACTGTATGTTATTTTTGTATCATGAATCACATACTAACCAATCAGTATTTGTGCAAAATGGCAAAATGAAATTTTTAAACCCCTAATTATCATTGTTGTAGTGCTTTTATATTATTTATATGGTTTTTACCTGTTGCTTCAGTTTTTGTATTTTTGACATTTAAAAATTGTGAATTGTTATCAAATGTAGTGAAGGTAAAGTACAACAATGCCATAGGTATCAGTTGTGGTGCTGAGGATACCACTAAATGAGAATAATAGCAAGATAAATGCTGCATTCTTGCAAGTCATTGTTGCCTATCTGTAAACATTACCTGTGAATCAAAATAATGATTAGCCAGCTGATGAGGAATCAATATTATGATTATCTGTTTAAAGTGAATCAATTCCTTGATTGGCTTTCACTACCTATAGGATTCAAATTGTTATGATAGGAGCAATATTATTTTGCTTAGGAGATAGTTCAAGCATTTCTGTTCAAGATCAGGCATGCTCCTTCTTGAAACACTCTCTTATTTTTATGTGATTGGTAAGTTAGAAATGGTCTGCATTTATGCCCAAAAGGAATCAATCTTTTGATGCCTCCATATTTTGATTCCAAAGGTCTAGTTTGCCCAACTGAATTGGAAGAGAAGGTAACAGCCCGTTACATTTTGTTATGCTACCTTTACCTTGGTTACATTTTACCTTTTTACTATGTTACCTTTGTTACATTGTCAGTTTGTATGCCGTCGATCCGTCTTGCTAAAACTTATAAGTGATCATGATCAAGCAATGCCGTATATAGGTGATCAAGATAAAAATGAATGAAGTGGTGGGCATACGCAATTCTCAATGTTTACCGAGGGCTGTTCGCTCTTTCTGCGAACGGGCCCCAGTTTGTCGTTTCCACTGGTAAATAAAAAATAGTGACAGAACGGGCGTTGATGGCGAACTAGCGCAGCGGCGGCAAAATAGGTTGATGGTTACTGAGCATAAAGCCGATAGATAATTGCATAATTTTCAGTAAAATTTAATGAAATTCGCCGTGTTGTGTGGTTATCTTAAAGAATAATCAATTTCTATCCTAAATGAGACCTTCGTGATGTGTGAATAGCTATAATTCCTCACCATTTTACAGGTATAATGCCGGACCAAGGATCAGGATGGGAAGAGTCCAGTCTGATCCAGCCTTTCTCATTCTGTTTCACTTCACTGAACTTGAACTTGACTGGAGAAGTCTGCACTGCTAGTTGCTACAAACAAATTTGGATGCTCACAATTAAATTGATTAAATTTTTTATGGAAGCTGAAAGTGCAATAGTGCTATTAGTGCCAGAGTCAGAGTGCCATAAGAGTGCCGCGTTAAAATCACCCTTTTTGCACCCTAGGCTAAATTGAATAAAGACCATATAATGTTAAACAAACCATATATCAACATAGAAGATTGTTGATTCAATCATTTAATGTTAAATAATCAGGTGCACCTGAAGCAGAAATAAAACCACCTGACCTAACCTTACCTAGGTACCCAATGTAACTTACCTCGCATTTGATGTCTCTCGGACGACAAAGATTCTACGTCGTCTGGCCAATCCCGTCCAAGGTCAGCGGGGGCTCGCCTGCAGTTCTGGAACGTGATTGGCCAGACGACGTAGAATCTTCGCTGTCCGAGAGACATCGAACGCGGGGTTAACCTTCCCTGACTGGACTGAACAATGGACATGAACATGTCAATGTGGTTGGGTGTAAGTTTATAAATGATTTGTTTAAAAACTAAAAAGTGTCATAGGTATCAAGTGTGGTCTCACTTTTCAACCTGAGGAAGATGTGTCCTTCCATTCATGTTTTTGAAGGGTACAAAAGGAGAAGGTCACCAGAGTGCCATGAAACAAGGCCTAGGGTAAAGGTGCTGTTTCACAGGTATGCTACTAGTGCTATTATGCATTCAGTTTCTATGGAAACATCAACAAACTGAGATGCTCGCATAAACATTTATGCATGTTTTTATGGAAATTGAAAGCGCAGTAGTGCTAGTAATGGCCAGCAGTGTGCGATGAAATGGGCCAGGGCTAGCCGCACCTCTGCAGGCACCAGACTGTAAAGTGGAAAGTATGCATTTTTATGCATATAGTCTAAAGCCCTAAAGTCTGAATAATTTGAATGAAAGGATTCTTAAAGGGACCCTCCCACCTTCAAAAAAGTTAATGAATTGGCATGAAAGTGATGTCGCTCGGTTCAGAAAGAGCAAAAATGAATATCTACCAAATTTCATCGAAAAATATTCACCGGTTTTCAAGATATTAGACTTTTACTTTTGTTTACTTTTTGGGATCTCCGCTGTTCCTAGCGACTTTATTTGAAAGTGCGGCATTTGTTGCGCGCAAAGCAGCATATACCACCGCGTGCTGCCAAACGTTTTAGTAAAAGATTTAAAAATCGTTAGATCTCCGCTGACGTCACAAATTCTAAGGGGGCATACCAATGCATTAGCCCCTTAGAATCCGAAAACTGCAAGTTTGAAATTCCATATCTTCGAATTAAAGCATTTTTCGATGTTGTGAATGCCCAAACCGGTATTTTCAGGCCATGGCCACCAATTTGGCTATCTCAACTCAAAACTAATGTTAAGGTGGGAGGGTCCCTTTAAGGACAGAGCCTCTGCTTACTGCTAAGCATAGGTAGGTAACTTAACCCTCGCCCGTATAGGAGGGGGGTCGAACGGACCCCCCTCGGTTTTTCGCGAATAACTCGCGTAAAAAGCGGCCGATCGCGACGAAGCTTTCAGTACCCTCGTGTTAATCAATTTTACACCTACCCTGAAATTTTCATGACCCTGACCCTAATGACCTTTGACCTGTGACCTACTTTTCGAGGCCATGTTTGGCCGGAATCGCGATTCGGCGTATGTCGGCTCGCATTAGCCGCGCGTTTGCAGTCTTTTCGTGGTTTTAAGCGGTCAAACATGGGATATGATGTTGCTCCCATGCATTAGGATGGGTGTCAAGGTCACCGGAAGGTCAGGTCAGGTCATTGACCTTTGATGACCTCGGTTCACTTTTTCGAGTTTTACATGTTTCTTGGCCAGTTTTTGGAGCTGAATTCGAATTTAGCAACCATATTCACATTTACGAAGTAGTTTTGGCACCTTCGTAACATGTTACGAAGCTGTCAGAGGCGGTTGCCACCTACTACGAAGACCCTTACTGGTTGACCTGACCTGCCCTGACCCGACCTGGCCTAAATGCATGAAGACATCATCTGTGATCAAAATCAACATGATATGCGTGATCAGCACCCCGAAAAACCCCATAGCAGCCACGCTTTACGACTTTCTGACAGGTCCCGATTTTCCCGACTTTTGGGTCATTGACCTGACCTGGAAGGTCAACCGATGACCTAGGACCTTAAAATTGGGTATCATCTGCTTCCTCTCGTCACGGGCAACACGCTCGTTTTTTTCCGCGAAGCTCTAGCTCGATCAGGGCGAAACGGCAGGGGGGGGGGGTCCAGCGGACCATAGCAACGGACCCCCCCCCCCCCCTTATACGTTCGCGGCTGGAAAAACACCAATACGGGCGAGGGTTAAGTTGATTTTGCCCGTTACCCTTTGATTTTGCAATTTCTTGTTAACAACAGAATAAAGAGTTCAAAGTTTAAAGTATCCTCATAGTTTTCAGGTCAGTCCTTCAGCTCCAAAAACCTCGAAAGTGGTAGGAGCTCAACGTCACTGGGGGTTACCAAAGGGTCAGTGTCCTCGAAGTAACTTTCAGAGGACCTTGAAAGTTGAAACCCACCAATCACCATAATGCGTGGGACAAACATCACTTTACATGATGGTACGTTTCTAAACACAAAAAAAAAGTCTGGAAATGAATGAATAATGTGGGGCGACATGCGCCGAATCGCGATTCGTGCATGACAGGTCTCGGGAAACAGGTCACAGATCAATAAGGGCATTTGGGCCAGGTTCGTGAAGGAGCATGATTTTTTTCAGGGTAGGTACTAGGTAGGTGTAAAAATGATAGCTCTAGGGTACTGCAAGCTCTCTGTCGCGATCAGCAGCGTTTTTCGCAAGTTTTCGTAAAACCCATAGGGGGGGGGGGGGGTAATCCGATCTTCTGTAAGCGTGAGGATTAAATAATGTTTTACTCTACGCCCCCCCCCCCTCCCCACTGGTAGCTTTCCTGCTGTGCTACCACCAACAGCCTTTGGCTTAGAGGACATTTCCCGTTTCTGCACCACTTGTTTGACAACAGATAACATTTTGTTGCAGGTCCCTTGCCATATTTTGCAGCCAGGGTTTCTGTTCTGCTGTTAAGCTACTTTTAGCGGTAAATATTGATGGCAAGTCCGACAATGGCAACTCTGGATGTTACCCAGGAGGCTGCTGTGAAGCCTTCAGTTCTGAATCTGGCCGATGAGTCTTCAATGATTGACGAAGTCAACAATTCACAATATGTGAGTTTCACTGACCATGGATGTCTCACAAAGAACTTTAGTTAGCTGGTCTTCTCTCGCTTCACATCGATGTGCCAAATAATAGCTACAAAATAGCCCTTCTGATGTTATTAAGTATAATTTTGATTGCTCACATATAAAGTTATTTTCATGCTCTAATCTTATGCATTGTCTCAGTGCTGCATTTGAGTTGCATATGTTCCATAGTGCAAGGCCCTGAGGTGCTGATTCAGCCCTACAGTTATTTTTACAGGCACATTGTTTGTATGTTCAACTTCACAAGCTGTCCAGTTGGTTTCTCATTACCATCCTGTGTCTTTTATGCCCTGCTAAGTCATAGCTGACTGATTGCCGTTCCACAGATTGCCACGCCATCCGTGGCCAGCGTCTCCTGGGATGACCTTGACCCGACCGACACACGTGACCTGCAGATCAAGGTCGATGACCCACAGAAGCATGTCACCAGCATGGAGACCTACATTACATTCCGCATATCAACTAAGGTGTGTGCTTCCTCATCATTTTGCTGCCAACTGTTTGGGGTTGGCACCAATCTGGAAGTTGTGTTGTGAAAAAAAAAATGGATTGCTTCGTATTTTTTCTCAACATTCTTTTCCTATGCCGTGTCGCGGATGCTGCGCTAATTGTTGCTTCTCTTGCAGACATCGCGCGCCGAGTTTGACGACAGCGAGTACTCTGTCCGGCGCCGGTACAACGAGTTTCTGTGGCTGAGAGCGCGCCTCACCGAGGCATACCCTACTCACATTGTCCCGGTATGTGTCCGGCTTCCACATCAGCTATATGTGCATCGAGCTAATAAGACGATGGCAGCTCGTAGGGCTCAGTCGATTTATTTCTAATGTATTGACTTACCGTGTCTTGATGAGGCTCGAGCTCAGATGTGGTTGATGTATTTTGTATTTGTTACGTTACGATAAAATGCAGGCGTACTCACGATCATTTTTGTTGACATTGGGGGGACACATCGATTTGTTGCCGATTCTGGAGTCGACTGGTAATTGGTATGCTAACCTACCGTTCCGTTGATGATGTGACTCCGGAGTCCGGACCCGTATTTTGACTCTCTTTTTGTATCGATCCCACCACAGGCCTCAGCGGCTATTCATGTCACCAAGTGATCGTGTATCATGTATAAACTCCACTCGTACATTACGGGCACCGACTGGCTAATCTGCGGTCTGGACGCTCTGAAAATGCCAACACCACCACTCCTCCTCCCGTGTCCCCAGCCTCTACCGGAGAAGCACAGCCTGCTGGGTCAGCTGGACCGCTACCAGCGCGACTTCATCCGGTCCCGGATGGCGCTGCTGCACCGCTTCATGAACCGCGTGGCCGACCACCCCGTGCTCAGCTGCAACGACAGCTTCAAGCTGTTCCTCGTCTCCAAACCGTCGGTGAGGAGAGGGACGCTGCTTACCGAGGGTGTGCCGAGGACCGGGGTTGGACTGTGGATCAGCTTGCAAATTGCAAGTAGGTCAGCTGGTGATCTGGTGTGCCTGTGGTTGTTTTAATAAGTGCACCATGCCGTTTCGTTGGGTTTTGGCTCCGGCTGTTTGACGCAGTATTGTTTTTTTTTTTGCATCACATTTATTGGCTTTATATGTGCTTGCAAAATATACTCGCTGTTTTGCACCTTGGTTTTACTTTCAAGATCCATTCCTTTGCCGTTTTCACAACTTATCTTCTCTATGCCTATCAACTTTCCCTCTATTTACACCCCCAGATCAACGTGCTTTGTGCATTTTCCCTCTACTCTCTGTGATCAGCCCTTTCCACCCCTAGGCGACTGCTTTCCAAAAGTGTGACCGTTGATACCTTCTCTCCGCAGGAGTTTGCCGTGCACCGCAGTCGGGGTCGCAGTGTGCTGAACCGCGTCTCCGAGTCGCTGCACGGCCTCACCACTGCCGGCGTCCAGAGCCGCTCACCGGAGATCCAGCGCGTGCTCGACTACGCCGAGAAGCTGAGCGACAAGCTGACTGCCCTGGAGAAGGCCAGCAGCCGCATCCATAAGGACAAGACAGGTGAGGACTGGAACGGACTCAGGGCAGTGAGATGTGGCACTAGCGTTTCGAGTGGTATTTTGCTCAATACGAGGGATGCACCGGTGACTTCGTCATTCCGAGCGCCCAAAACACCAAACTACCACCACCATCGTTCAATGCGAGCGTTTTGAGGAGCTGGTGGTGTGCACGTTTTTGTGATGTTGTGGCCTGAAAAACAGATGGTTTGCCTCACCGTAGTTCCTAGTTCGGATACTAAACTTTTCAAGCACACTTGTCGGACCATGTTGCCTGTGTTCCACATCTCGTTAACGGTAGTTGCAGCTCCCCTCACCCCTCCCCTCCCTCTCCGGGCAGTGATGATCGGTGAGATGCAGCGGCTGCATCCGACACTGACGCTGATGTCGGCCTCGGAGCCGGAGCTGGGGCCGCTGCTGCGCGCCGCCGCCGGCGCCGTATCGCGCTGCGCGGCCGCCGAGCAGGCCGTGACGGACGCGCAGCCGGCGCAGCTCGAGCAGCCGCTGCGCGAGTACGTGCTGTACGCAGAGGCGATCCGGGAGGCGCTCGGACGCCGGGACGCCGTACAGGCGCAGTTCGAGGCCACGGCGGCGGAAATACAGCGGAAGGAGGCCGAGCGGGCGCAGGTCAGAGACGACCGGGTCCGGGGAACCGAGGCTTGACGCGTCGTCAAGACAGAATTGCTGGATGGCTTAACCCTATTCCTGGCGGGGGGGGGGGCCTCAGGAGCCCCCCCCCCCCTGAGGTTTTTTGGTTATTTCTCCCAAACGCGTTGAGCTAGGAAGCTCAAATTTTCTGACTTTTCCTAAAAGGCTTCTACGCAACATGTCTGAAAATTTTGAGTTGATCTGACCTCAGGTCAGGTCACCAGAGGCGGTTTGGTGACCCTACCTCAGAAAAGTTTGCAATCACGCCAGAGCTAGAGTTTTTGACCGATCAATTTCTTCTCTTCAGGCTTTAGTTAGGGTACCAGTATGTGCAATTTGTATATCTCGGAATTTTGATATCGGTGACCTAAGGTCAGGTCAGTTTCGCGACCTCCCCATTATAAGTCAATGGGGGAAAAATCAACTCCCTGTTTTTACCACTAAAACGGGTCGGAATGGCCCCATATACCATACATGACTTCATATACGATCAACCTTCACTACCTTGAGGTCTGTTTTGCTGTTGGGCAGCTGTGAGGTCATGTGACGTCATCAAAGGTCACCAAAGGTTTTTGGCCAATAACTCCGTACAGGAACAATATACAGACGCGTGGATGGTCTCATTGTGTTCAGCTCGTCAAGACGCATCGAATGATATACATGATGACCTCGAGGTCACGTGACCTGAGGTCAACCTTTGACCTTGACCTTGCGAGGTCAACATATATATCATTCGATGCGGATTGACGAGAGGATCACGATGATGCCCTTAGTTTGTTCCTATCTTGACTAATTCGAAAGTTATTCGAGAAAAACTCTCTCCATATCTAGCGCCGCCATTTTGACTTTTTCGACCCCTGTGACGTCATCTTTGACCTGACCTGAAAATGACCTTAGTAAAAATTGTAGATCTTGACCGTGCGTATCCGATGCCGTTTACCGTTTGTCGCTATCTTGCTTCGTTCTCGAGATCTCAGGGGGGGCCGAATCGGCCCCCCCCCCCCGCCAGTTTCTTGTCCCGGCGGAGCCCGCCAGGAATAGGGTTAATTATTCATTGTTTTGAAGCTGCATGTGATTTTTATTGGGGTGTATTTCAAAACAGTGGATTGCCTCGATTGATTTTTTTTTTCACAAGTCTGATAAGTCATCACTAACGAGGGATCATTTCCGGCGGTCATTAAATCAACTGTCAGCCAGGATGGTTTTTCATGATCTAAATGTCTACCACCAGAATATATGTGACCTCGCCGCCGACCAGTGCTGACCTCTGTGACCCCTGTGATTCAGGTGAACGCCGGTCACGCCCCATCCGGCCTGAGCTGGGTGTTCAGTCGCGCCACCCCCGAGGCCCTCAAAGCCGAGGAGGAGAAACTCGGCAAACAGCTCCACCAGCTCAAGGTCGATCTGGAGGTATGTCAGCAGCTAAATGTGTGTTGTGTGTGCGTGCTGGGTCTAGGTGTCAGTTTTCAGCTGGCACCTTGTGTCACTGGGTCTGTCTGTGTGTGACAGTCTCTGAACGACTGTCTTGCGAAACTAGCCGTGTCCACTACCCATGTCTTTATCTCTGTTGTTCTCAGTCTCTGAACAACCGTTGAGTGCTTGCAGACTAACCGTGTCGTGTTTCTGTGTCTCATTCTCTGAATGACCGTCTGGAGTGACTGACCATGCCGTGTTTCTGTCTGTCTCAGTCTCTGAACGACCGTCTGGAGTGACCGGTCGTGCCGTATTTCTGTCTGTCTCAGTCTCTGAACGACCGCCTGGAGTGACTGACCGTGCCGCATTTTTGTCTGTATCAGTCTCTGAACGACCGTCTGGGGAGTGACTGACCGTGCCGTGTTTCTGTTTGTCTCAGTCTCTGAACGACCATCTGGAGTGACTGACCGTGCCGTGTTTCTGTCTGTATCAGTCAGTCTCTGTAGTGACTGACAGTGCCGTGTCTCTGTGTCATTCTCTGAACGACCGTCTGGAGTGACTGACCATGCCGTCTTTCTGTCTGTATCAGTCTCTGAACGACCGACTGGAGTGACTGACTGCTGTGTTTCTGTCTGTATCAGTCTCTGAACGACCGTCTGGAGTGACTGACCGTGCCGTGTCTCTGGGTCTCAGGCTCTGAACGACCGTCTGGAGTGACTGACCAGTGATTGTGCCGTATTTGTTTATCAGTCTCTGAACGACCGTCTGGAGTGCGCCAACTCGAACCTGCTCGCCGACATGGAGCGCTGGGAGAAGCTCAAGGTTCGCGACATCTCTCAGTTGCTCGGCGCCATGGGCGACAGCCAGATCAACTTCTACGAGGAGGTGGGTCCTCGCTGCCGGGGTGCCTATCCCATTCTCTCCACATACCCCGCCGCTGAACATGCGCACTGGCTGCTATGATGAACTGACCAGTTAGGTAGCTTGGACGGGGCATATTTTGAGACCAGTCTTACGAAGTAGCGTACTTTGTCTTATACCCCACTTTGCACCAGTATAACGCCTTTTGGGGCGACTAACGGAGCGAGCGAGAGGGTGAGCCTTGCACGTGCGAAATTTCGAGGGGGTACCTCCAACTTGACTTGTGCACGGCACCCTACTAACCGGTCTCTTGCGATGTGCCAAATTTGAGCACAATCGGCCCAGCCGTTCTCGAGATCTGGAAGCGGCACTCTGCACGTGCGCACGTGCAAAATGGGTCCCAACTGACTTGTGCACGGCACCCTACTAACTGGTCCCTAGCCGTGTACCAAATTTGAGCGCCATCGGTCCAGCCGTTCTCGAGATCTGGAAACGACCCCTGCACGTGCGCACGTGCAGCAGCACCCCAACTCTGGCACATGGATATGCAGTGCCTAGTGGGTGCCTACCTACAGGCCAACTTTCAGCGCAATCGGCCAAGTAGTTACCGAGATATTGCAACAATTACGAAAGTGACACCTCTTCCTTTTGCACGTGGCACGTGCATAAGGGGTCACCCACATGTATCGGGAATAGTCCAATACTTGGTAGAAGGAATGAAGCTACCCTACAAAAATTACCGCATGTAAATCGGTCAAGTGGTTGCTGAGATATAAGCACGGCCGGCCGGCCGGCCGCTCATACTCAGATATTTCCGTTAATCTAAGGAAAGACTCCGCTCGCTTCGCTCGCTCCGTAATCATTTGTATTTTGCAGTGATGGTTGGAAGTGCTAAACATGAATATTTGTCATTCAATGGAGTCTTAAATCAATATTTGAATACTTGCGCGCAAAACATTTTACACCGACAATGTAGCTTATTTTCGGTAGCCTATAAAATCGACAGTCAAATCTGCGAAATCAAATAGTTCACGCCACTTCGTAAGACTGGGTCCTGTGGTGGTGGGTGACCCTACGGGACCTGAGTATATGGTGATGGTCCCCTGAGCATGTGTGCATGTCTGCCTATCCCTGGCTGTTGGTTGTTGGGCCAGTGGTGGAGCGAGAGCCGCCCTCCTGGAGCGTGGTTCGCCGGCATCCTGCAGCAAGGCGCCCTGCTGCCTGGCTTAGAGTAGTGTACGTCACACTGAATCGTGTGGTGATTATGTAGTTGATGTGTGGGTTTTCGTAAAACCTGGTGCAAAACAGGTATCACAGTCCCTAATTAGCATTAGGAGCAGCATTTTTAGGATATTGAGATTAATATCAACATGCGACGCTAGAGATTCCTGAGCATCAATGATGCAATTTTGTCTCTGACGAACATTGTGTCAGGTAGAATACGGGCACTTCTTCTCATTGTTTTTAATGGGTCTCGTCAAACTTGACGTCGGGGGGTTTCTTCTGTCTGTCGGAAACCATGCTATTTTATCAATTGAATATGTTTTAAGTTCCAACCGATAAAAGGAGCTTACAATCTATTCACGAGGCATTCTGCAATCTTTGGTGCTTCTTCCATCCCCATAAGACACCGACAGACCGTTGGTCGGAAGGTAAGAGAGCCCCACGTACGTAGAAGGGATGGGTATCAGACCAAGGGTCGACGTTATCAGGAAGTAGTCGACTGACGCGGCTCGAGTGCTGCCACCTCCACTGTTTCTCACTGCTGAAAGTGATGAACAGAGGAGATGCACCATAATATGCGCCGCTACAAAATCACACACCGCTGCTAGTTTAACTAGGCCCCGCCTCCGCTCTATTGATGAATTTCATTGTCATTTCATTCATGAGTTCTATTGAAGATTGGTGAGGGGGCGAGGGAACAAACGCGTAGAGACATTAGACGAACCTGCTACTTCCTCGCCCATGCTTCTATGAAGGCTCTTTTCGCTTGTTTATTATTGTCATCTCGCTTCCGTGGGTGCAGTCGTATCATTTAATGTTTGTAGGTGTGTTCTGCTTGCTTTAGAGCGTTTTGTACCATATAACCAATTACCAAGAAAAAGGTACCGTTTGTTAGCTATAACATACCACCCTTCAGCTTTGCTTTTTCAGTTGGGCACCTGTGTATTTTATTTCAACACTGCACGTCCGGTGGCTGGCTTTTGGTCTTGGTTTGCTGTTGGTGCGTCGGTTTGGCATGCACATATTGTTTCCTTGCTGAGCCTGAAGCTGGCATACAGTGTGCATTATATGTGAGACGGTCGTCTGATGTTCCAATAAGATGAGGTGAGTGCAAGCGGTTATGATGATAAATCAAGGTTTTGATGAAATTATTAAAACTGGAAGCTTATTCTTATTATAATAAAATCATGCAGAGCCTATATACTATACTTGCCTGCGATTTCTATGTAATCGCTTTGACATGGGAAGCGCTCTCTGTTCAACATACTTTGCTGAGAGTCTAGCTTTTTATGGCCGACATGGCAGTGACGGAAGCTCTGATCTAATAAGAGGCTCTGAGAGTTGATTTTATACAGTATGACAGTGCTGCGGTGTAACCAGGCTCTCATCGCCCGCAGTGCCTGGCCTCGTGGGAGTCAGCCCTGGCTGTGTCCGAGATGACACTGGACCCCTCGCGGGACCGTCCGTCAGCCAACTGACGCGCCGGACGAGCACACGCCCTACAGGCACCTCCCGGCAGCTAGCTGCGCCGCCACCGACATTCCACGCTCACTGCACGGCGGCTGGAGACGGACCGCTGAGGAGAGGAGCGCCACCGCTGGCGGGTGGCCGGCCCGGAGATGGAGGAGGGTGAGGTGTTGATGTCAACAGGGTTATGGCGTGTCCAGCTCCACTCGCCAAGCGTCCTGGAGCTGGATGGGCGAGAGGGAGCGTTCTAGCGACGGGCGCTTGGAGATGGTGTCCAGCGCCAAAGATTGGTATGGGCGGTACGCGGCTTGGCTTCTATGTGTGTTGGTTGGTGCGATACGCGATGTTGTACTGGAGATGGCATCGGATGTCGACTTGGTGTGGCAATGGTTTTTTGGCGTCTGAGAAAAGCTATTTGTGGGCTTATGAGAACAGATATCCGCATGTGTACAGGATCTGGGATAGTTGATATCCGCTTGTGGCCAAGATCTGAAGGCCTTGCCGGTGGGGAGGCCACAGAATGTGATGGCAGAGGTTGTGTCATAGGCAGTGTTTTCCTGCTCTCTGAGTATTGTTTTGTTTTTGAAGCTTATACCGATTGTAACCGACAACTGTATATGTCCGATATATATGTTGGCGTCTGTGAGACGCGTTGGCGATCCGCGACCGACCAAAGTCCGCTGCTGCTTTTCACAACACCCAATCTGAACGTGTTTATTATGTTGCTTCTGTCGTGTAGCATGTCCAAAGTATATTTGTGCTTGCATGCTATGATCTCTTACCCTACACTGTTAAATAAAGTTATTCGTCTACAATTGTTTTGTTGATTTGATCTTTTTTCTTCAGAAAATTGCTTTGCGTGCTAATTGCTATCGATAGGCATGCTCGTGTAAAGATGCTGCTCCTCTTTGAAGACAGTATTGAGACTGAAGTTGGATCTAGGCTATCAGACTCAATCCTATTGTTCGTACATGACGTTGATTATTATTATTTTCGATTCAAATCCAGCATCTATCATTTATAGATAGATAAGAAAGCTTCGCATTCTTGTCCCTTGTCTGTCGTCTACCATTATAGCACACGGAGAAGATGGAGATGTCTCAGCAGTCAGCACTGCCTGCATTCCTTCCTCCCTGGCTGAAACCATGACAATTATTACACTACGGTATATATTTGGACCCGTCGACGCTGCTGTTTTTCGCTTAAATGCAATCCTGGTGGGTGATGGTCTGAAACCATGAACATTCAGTCGGGGAACACAGCGCCCAGTGCCGCCCATCCGCAGCCGTCATGCATTTGTTCGGCCTAGGTTCAGCTAGGTATAATCAGTAATCACTGCAGACCGGGCACAGTTCCGCTCACCCGCGCCGGACTGCCTAGGCAGAGGACAGTACACAGCCAGGGTCGGTATACCCAGACTCCTGGGCGTGCCAAGGCACACTCTTGCTCAGTCACGGCGGCTAACGTACAGCTACATGCAGTCACGACGTGGACAGAGCTGACCTCTATCACAACAGCCAAGGCACAGTTGTGCCCAGTCACGACAGCCTGGGCCTATCGATTATAGGACAGAGCAACGTATACGCGTCCAGGCTCAGTCCCGACGGTGTCCTAGGCACAGCTAGGCTTAGTTATGGCAGCCTAGTCCAGCTAGACTCAATAATACAGCTATGCCATTTCCCAGTCAGTGCAGACGAGGCGCAACCATTCTCAGTCCCGAAACCCAACGCACAGCTTGGCTCAGTCACGGTAGTCTAGACCCAGCTATATTCAGTCACGCAAGCTCACTCTCTTTTGCCCGAGAGGCGAGACTAGAGCTAGGGTCATTCACTACAGTCCGGACAGTCCCAGCCTTTGTCGTGATTACTTCTGACTTTCTGAGGCTTGACTCAGGTACGACAGCCACGGCGTGCCATGACACCAACAGTCAGACTCAGCGGGACTATAGCTGCTCTCAATAACACCCGTTCCATCTTCAGCTCGGAGCTGGGTTGGCGATCACGGCAGGTCGGAGGAGCCTGCGCGGATCATCTGAACAGAGGGAAGAACGACAGTCGCTGCTGTGACGGCGACAGCTGCAGCGGCCGGGGAGGCCGCCGGTCCGTGCTGAGCTCGACTGCCAGGGGACCTGCGGGTGGAATCGGAGGCTGTCAGAGGGCGGACCGCAGGTCCGGGCTGAGCTCGACTGCCAGGGGACCTGCGGGTGGAATCGGAGCCTGTAAGAGAAAGCGGAAGAGGGGAGAGGGCTGAGAACGGGCTCTGAGAACGGGCCAGCGAGACATAGATCGATTGACAACTTACGATCGAACTCGAAGGAGGGAGTCCCAGGCGTATATGAACGTTTACTTTGTTGGAGTGTCTGTGGTACGCGATGTTTGTAGAAACGATAGTTTGAAGCGTGCAGGATCCATTCAACACATTTCCATCACCATTCGTGACTTATCCAGCCAGTTCTGCCTCTCCCTCGCCGTTTTACCCAGTCTGACGCTCGCTCCCTGCACCCACCGTTGGGAGTCCCGGCGTTCCGCTGTGTCAGCTCTGCCGTCTCTCTGGCCAGCCCTCCCTCCTGCTGGGCCGGCCATCCGACTCCGCTGAGGTGGGCTTCCTCCATCTGTGCTATACAGCGCAGCATCTCCGGCCACGGCCGGCTGAGGAAGTTGCCGTCCCGCAGCGCCAGCAGGATCAGCATCTTGACCGTGTCCATGTCCCTGGCCTTGATCTCGGCGTCGCCGGCGCTGGCGGAGGCCAGGGCGAAACGGGCCAGCGTCTGTAGGTAGGCGTCACGCTCCATCTGTGGGATGGAGGAGGCATGATGTGGCGAGAGGGACACGATGAATAGCTCCATACAAGGGCGTAGCTTTTTCTTAATTTAGACATTACCTTGTGGGTGTGATTGTGCTTGAGAGTGTAACCTTTAATAACCTTGGCTTCGCAATAGTGTGGGTTGTTTGGGAGCCAGCCGTGGCGGACCCCAACTGTTGCAGTCTATACCTGCATCTGGAACAGGCAGTGGGCCCTTACCTGCATCTGGAACACGCAAGGAGCCCGTACCTGCATCTGGAACACGCAGGGAGCCCGTACCTGCATCTGTAACACGCACGGAGCCCTTACCTGCATCTGGAACACGCAGGGAGCCCTTACCTGCATCTGGAACACGCAGGGAGCCCGTACCTGCATCTGGAACACACAGGGAGCCCGTACCTGCATCTGGAACACGTAGGGAGCCCTTACCTGCATCTGGAACACGCAGGGAGCCCGTACCTGCATCTGGAACACACAGGGAGCCCGTACCTGCATCTAGAACACGCAGGGAGCCCGTACCTGCATCTGGAACACGTAGGGAGCCCTTACCTGTATCTGGAACACGCAGGGAGCCCGTACCTGCATCTGGAACACACGGAGCCCGTACCTGCATCTGGAACACGCAGGGAGCCCGTACCTGCATCTGGAACACGTAGGGAGCCCTTACCTGCATCTGGAACACGCAGGGAGCCCGTACCTGCATCTGTAACACGCAGGGAGCCCTTACCTGCATCTGGAACACGCAGGGAGCCCGTACCTGCATCTGTAACACGCAGGGAGCCCGTACCTGCATCTGTAACACGCAGGGAGCCCGTACCTGCATCTGTAACACGCAGGGAGCCCTTACCTGCATCTGGAACACGCAGGGAGCCCGTACCTGCATCTGGAACACGCAGGGAACCCGTACCTGCATCTGGAACACGCAGGGAGCCCGTACCTGCATCTGGAACACGCAGGGAGCCCGTACCTGCATCTGTAACACGCAGGGAGCCCGTACCTGCATCTGTAACACGCAGGGAGCCCGTACCTGCATCTGTAACACGCAGGGAGCCCTTACCTGCATCTGGAACACGCAGGGAGCCCGTACCTGCATCTGGAACACGCAGGGAACCCGTACCTGCATCTGGAACACGCAGGGAGCCCGTACCTGCATCTGGAACACGCAGGGAGCCCGTACCTGCATCTGGAACACGCAGGCGATGTGGATGGCGCAGCGGACGCCGTCCAGACAGAGGTCGTCCACCTCGGCGCCCTCGCCGTCCTGCAGGCCCGTGCTAAACGCCGCCAGCACCGGCGCCCAGGCCAGCTGGAACATGGGCCGCACGTGCTCCACGTGCGTGGCGCACGTGAACTCGGCCTGCACGTGGCTGGCGGCCTCCATCAGCGACCTGGCCGCCATCGACATCTGCTCCATCTCCAGGTTGAACAGGAGCCGGCGCTGCTTCTCGTTCTGGGCCACTGCCGGTACAGTTTATGGTGCCGGTCGGGAAACGAGTCGCAGAGCCTCAACCCGCACCCCTCGAGGATGGTATTGGATGTTACCCTCGCCTTTTCATTATATGAAGTGTTACAGAATAATTAAATGTCACTTGTCTTGCCACATAAAAAACAAGTTGATATTTAAACTAAAATTTCGTCGCAACCTTAGCTCGATATTATTTAGCAGGGTTACAGGCTACTGACCCTGTCTGCCAGGTCTGGCGCACGGTATGACCCTCATCTTGATGGCGTTGCCGGCGATGTCGTCGTATATTCTCGTCAGGTAGAGAGGCGGCAGGTCCTCTCCGCCGTTGATCCCGCGGTTCATCCGGATGTACTGCTCCATGGTGATTTTGTGCTGCGAGAGAGGGGGAGCATGATATCGAAAACGATACCGTTACTTCATCTTCATATACCCTTTGTAAATCGTCAGTCCCTCAATGCCATAATGGGGAAAATGCAGTTTCTCGTACCTTGACATGGGCGCTGTGCAGATCAGTAGTCAGCATGATGATGGAAAATGCCAGCACGTAGGCTGTGTCTGGACTGGTGAACAACTCCTGGCTGCGAACAGATTATGTATACTTTTCAATTGTCTGCGATATTGATTATGCTGTTTATTGAAATGTTTTAGCGATGTTCAGAATTAGCATTCATACTGCTGAACTAATAATTTCTATTTTTAGTGTCAGAACATAAAGCACTTTCAAGTGTTATTTCAGACAATCCCTTTTCATTATGGGCTATCACGATGCACGACTGCGACTAAAATTTCGCTACAATGAGTTAAGTGTTTCGCTTCTCACTACACTTGCGTGCCAGTACAGCACTCACTCGGGATTGCACTCGCAGTATTTGCTCGCGAACTTTTCCATCAGTCGATCGATCTTCTGCGCCTCGCCTGGGAGTCTGAAACCGTCCAGGAACTGGCGTAGTGCCGCCAGAAATTCGCAGCCGACAAAGTCCAGACGATCCACGTGTTACGGGCGGCTGTGACCGCCCGTTGTGGCATGCCTGGCGCCGCCCGTGGCGCCTCCCCGGCTGGCCGCGCCCGGCGCCGCCCCTGCCGCGTGGCCCTCGGGCGGGGTCGAGGGCTGGCGCTGGCTGGGCGGTCGGCGGCCCGGGAGAGGCAGGGAGACCGTGGTTACGAGCGGTTGGCTCTGTGGTTCTTGTTTGGGCCTCTGCCGATAATACAGTAAAGCATCGAGTCTGAGTGTGTTCAGCTCCCGCAACATTTGGCGCGGCAACATTTGGACCCTCCCTCCAATCGCCCAGGCGCAAGCCAGTGACGCGACGCTGTCGGCTCTCCGAAGAGCACACGAGAGGAAGGAGAAGCCAAGGCCTGCAGCGTTCGCTGGGTGGGGAGTGCTGCGAAAACACTGGAGCAAGGTGCGCGTCATGAATGGAGTAATCGGCATTGCCTCGGGTCGACAGTTCCAGGCGGCGGTGCCTCAAACTGAACGGGCCGAGATCATCCGACTGGCGCATGATGATCCATCGAGCGGGCACATGGGTCGCAGACGGACCATCGCCCGGGTGAAGACTCGATTCGTCTGGCCGGGGATGAATGAGGACATCCGGAGCTTCTGTGCCTCGTGCACGCCGTGTCAGCGGCGGTACAGACCGGCACCCAAAAGACGAGCACCGATGGTTACCGGGGTTACCTCACGACCCTTCCAGAGAATAGCCATGGACATCACGGAGATGCCTGTGTCGAGAAGAGGCAACCGATATGTGCTCGTGATCATGGATTACTTCTCAAAGTTCGTACGAATCTTCCCGATGCCGAATCAGAAGACAGAAACGGTGATGGAGGCACTCCTTCACTGGGTTCAGGAGCTTGGTGTTCCCGAGAGGCTTCACACAGATCAGGGCGCTCAATTCGAATCTCTGATGATGCGTGAGCTGTATCAGAGGCTCGGCATCCACAAGACTAGAACAACGCCTTATCATCCTGAGAGCGACGGGATGGTGGAGCGCTTCATGAGGACCCTGAAAGACATGGTGTCGAAATACATCGACAGCCAGGGCCTTGACTGGGACGAAAGTACCAGATCATACGCCATGGCCTACAATTCTTCCCTCCACGAAACCACCGGTCACACACCTTTCTACATGATCCATGGCTTTGAGCCTCGGTTGCCTCTGGATGTAATGTACGGAACCGATGAAGTCGCAATACCAGCTGAAACCTTCCTGAACAAACGGCTGAAGAACATGAAGCGGGTCTTCGCACAGGTGAGGAGAGCCTCCTCCCAATCAGCTGCTCGAATGGCGGTTCGCCATGACAGCAAACTCAATTTTACCGCGTACCCAACGGGCTTGAAGGTGTGGGTACGAGACCACACTGCCGCTGTGGGAGGAAAACCGAAGCTGGGTCTGCCGTTTAAAGGACCGGTGACCATCGTCGAGAGAAGAGGCACACCGGGGGAGGAAGTTACCTACCGGATACAGGACGTCCGCGGCAAGACACGCGTCGTGCACCACAACGACCTCAAGGAGTTCATCCCTCGTCGGACCGACTTGCAGCCAGTTCAGGATCCGAGTGGTCCAAATGGACGTGGTGAGGCCGTGGGGGTGGATCCCGTGAGCGACTGTGGTAACGAGCATGGCGTTCTGCTCGAGGTGCCGCTAATGCACTTACTCGGGAGAGCTGGCCCATCTGGTGATGTGGGCGTCGCTCAGAGGGGAATGTTGCCGCCAATGTCATACGTGACCAGATCAGGCCGAGTATCGCGACCACCTGAAAGGTTCCAGGCGGGACTATGAGTGTGGTGGAGGTGGTGAAGGCTGTGATTGTGTATATAGTTGTAATGTAAATAGCGTGTCGTAAGTGTCGCATTGTTCAATGTATGATTGTTTCCGTGAGGGGGGAGGGGTGTTACGGGCGGCTGTGACCGCCCGTTGTGGCATGCCTGGCGCCGCCCGTGGCGCCTCCCCGGCTGGCCGCGCCCGGCGCCGCCCCTGCCGCGTGGCCCTCGGGCGGGGTCGAGGGCTGGCGCTGGCTGGGCGGTCGGCGGCCCGGGAGAGGCAGGGAGACCGTGGTTACGAGCGGTTGGCTCTGTGGTTCTTGTTTGGGCCTCTGCCGATAATACAGTAAAGCATCGAGTCTGAGTGTGTTCAGCTCCCGCAACACACGTACGCTTCCATCACCTGGAGAGAATGGACACGCAAGGATGGGAGCGGTTAGGCGTTTGATGCTCTCAGCTGTCAACCGCCGCGCTGGTGAACCGCGCAGACCTGCACAATTTGTCTTCGAACTGTGCAACAACCCGTCAGCCTTAACGCCTGACACTAGCCTCCGAGTTTTGACCCTTGGATCATGGCTCCCTTGAATCATTCCTGACCAGCCGCTGGCCCTAACCCCTGGCCTCTCCTGCTGCTACCGACCTGCTGCTGGTCGGGCCCCCTGGCCTCTCCTGCTGCTGACCAGCCGCTGGCCCTGGCCCCCTGGCCTCTCCTGCTGCTACCGACCTGCTGCTGGTCGGGCCCCCTGGCCTCTCCTGCTGCTGACCAGCCGCTGGCCCTGGCCCCCTGGCCTCTCCTGCTGCTGACCTGCTGCTGGTCGGGCTCGCCGAGGAAGTCTCCCAGCACGGTCCGGTCTAGCCGGTGATCCTCGTGGAAAAACGCCGCGATCGAGTCCGGTGTGTCCTTCAGGAGACCCTGACGCTGCAGGAACGCCAGGCCGCGCTTCGGCTTCCGATTAAACCTTTGGGATGAGACACAGTGAGTCAGTGAAAACTCACTTGAACTGCTTCCGTCATGGCCGGTCTGACAGCAAAGTGCTGGATTATATATGAGAGGGCTAGAATTTGTGCTTTGATAATTAATTAGTGCTTATTGATAAGCCTGATATTATTATATATAAAAATAAGATTGCTTTTAAAGTATGTGCTTAAAGTCTGGGTGTCAAAAGGTTTGGGTGTAAAACAATATTTACAAGACCTCGATAAATAGCCAAAAGGACTATCTAGTTACTTCGACGTGTGATCCTTTGCTTTCACCGTTGCATGGACCTTGGGTTATTTTGTCTGACCGTTCCGCCGTTTTGTAAACAACTCCTGATTACCGATGGCCACGTCGTTATCGACTTACCTATTTTTTTTTTTTTACACGATGAACACGAATCACACTGTGACCGGGCCAAGTCGATTGTCTAGCTCACAAACACTGTGAAGACGGAATCTTATCGTCTGATCTCTACCGAGAAGTTATGTCACCGAATGGTAAAGGCTAGTGATATTTATGGAGACCTGTTTTCGGGAATGTGTAGGCGTCACGAAATGTTAGACAACGGTAAACAGCGTCGAAAACGCTGAACATGGACGGTTTCGTGTTGCCTGGCAAGGACAGCTCACGGATCGCCCGAGTCATGCAGTTCCAGAGAAATTGCGTGCAAGCGATACAGTATCCAGCCGGGCAACGGTAAAAACATCTGAAAACAATCGGCTGTCGGTGAGGGCAGAACAGGGCGACTCACATGTCGATGCCCTGCTCCCAGGTGTCCTTGATCTGCTTGAGCGACTCGTACGCCTCCGGTGTATGGTCTGAGAGGCTGAGTTCGCTGCCGCGTGTGGACAGGGTGCCGGGGGTGGCCGGGGCCGGCTCCTCGGTCCAGTCCCGCTCCGAATCTGCCGACGGCTGTGACTGTGTTAACGAGTATCAGAGTCAACTTGGCCTTATGACAAGTATGAATATCTGCCGTACAGAGATGCATTTTAGGAGGGTATGTTTTTCAATGCTTTTAGAGAAGCGCATCAATGAATGGCTATCGCTAACCGATATCCTGATCTGGCGCACAAGTGTCGACTGTCGTGTGTCGGTCCAACTGCACGTTTCGTGTCAGATGTACAACTTTACGAGTCTTTGTACTCCCACATGCTTCTGTACGTTGAACGCTTTATTGTACACAAAAATGAAAGACATAAAGGGAAGGATACATTGAAAGGCAAACAAAGGAAAAAGATAGAAACAGAAGGAATGGCACAAAACACAGCCTTGCGCGCATGCAGCAAAGTGGGGTTTCTGCAAGCAGAGACAGCACATAACACAGTCAATGACACAGAAGTTAATGAGCGATGACCATTGACAGAAAAAGAGAAAATGAAGATGGCAACAACCAATGATAAGCAAACATATGAAAAAGTAGATCATATGCAAAGTAAAGCGTTACCGAAGTTTCCGCTCCCAGTTCATGCCAGTCTCAGCATAGCAGTCTCAGCATGCCATCTCATCATGCCAGCTTGTCAGTTCAAGCACACACAGTTAATATTTATACATGTCTGTCAGTGCAAGACCTGAGAAAAGAGAAACCTCAGTAAGACTTGGTGGTCGCAACACTCCCCCCAGTGCTTATCCTAGGCCTGAGGAGAACACTAACTGGAGCGACCATCGTTGATTATTCACCGTTCAGCTCAATGACCGCCGAAAACTTACGCTAGACACATTAACTCAAAATACGCACGAACGCACGCGTCAAGCACTGCACATTTCAGAGAAAAGCAGATATCGCACAGCAGCTTTAGCGTCCAGCACTCAGCCTCCATGCACTGTCACCTGGGCCTTGGTCACCTGCCCGTTCTCCGGCCAGTCACTCAGATATCGTACAGACGCACCGCGCCGGCGAACCGTAACGCCGAAACCGTGCGCAAACTATAGAGTCCATCATCCGCTACACCTCTCCACTCAGCGTTCGCCCGAGCAGCTCACGCAGTCGCCCTCGCCAGGCAGACGTCTCTCCCCAGCCTCGCATCCTCCGCTCAGCGGCCAGAGCTCAGGAGACCCCGTCGGTGGCGGGCCAGGTCTCGGAACCAGTCCCGAGCACACAGCCGATCACAGGTCCAGCGCAGCACGCCGCCACCCCTCAGCTCCAGGACGCGGCCATGCAGTACGTCAGCAGCCCGAGCCTTCTCCAGGTCGAGCATCGAGCAGTACGCTGGGCGCATCGTGTCAGTGCCAATGGATGAGGTACTGTTTAACAGGTAAGACAGGGGGCAGGACGGTACTTGAATAGGGCTAGGATAAACAGCGCCTAGCACAGAACTTTCACTCTTCTTGACTTTCATTCTCGCTTTCACGGCCGTTTGCTCAGTTTCTTCCCTGAACGCAGCTTTCTAAAAAGCATATCTTGTTCGCTGGTCGTCGATAGGTAGATCCGCTGGAGGTCTGCACTGTCACAGTCCGGACACGACCATCATCTCCCGGAGAAACTTCCGTGACCTTGGCCAGCGGCCAGCATCCTCGTGGTGACCCTTGCTCGACCATGAGCACGATATCTCCAACTTGCAGATCACGATCTTCATGAACCCATTTCTTCCTCTGGATGAGCATGGGCAGGTATTCACGCTGCCAGCGGCGCCAGAGCTGGTTGGCCAGAACCTGGGATTGCCGCCATTTCCCTCGACCCAACGCATCACCATCAGTGAACATCCCTGGAGGAAAGGCAGCCTGAGGGCTACCCAGAACGAAATGGTTGGGCGTGAGAGGCTCAGGGTCATTGATGTCCGAACTCACGTAAGTGAGTGGGCGACTGTTGATGGTGAATTCTACTTCCACCAGCGCGGTGTGCAGTACGTCCTCACTGACACACTGGTTGCCCAACACCACTCGCAAAGCGCGTTTGACCATCGCCACCAACCTCTCCCAAACACCGCCCATGTGGCTGGCGGTGGGAGGGTTAAAACGCCACTCGATGTGTCGCTGACTAAGTTCGTCGGTGATCTGTGCCTGATTCCACGCATCCAGACAACTCCTGAGGTCCTTTTCACCTGCGACCAGATTCGTGCCATTATCTGACCAAATGACACGCGGACGCCCCCGGCGGGCAAAGAAGCGCCGGAGGGCCATGAGGAACCCATCTGTATCCATCGAGCTCACAAGCTCCAAGTGCAACGCACGCGTCGCCAGGCAGGTGATGAGCAGCACATAGCGCTTTTCGGTCTTGCGGAACTTCCGAACGGGGAGTGGGCCACAGTAGTCAAGGCCAACACATGCAAACGGTCGAGACATGTCAAACCGACTCGCCGGTAGGTCCGCCATCATTGGAGTCGGGGGCTGCGCACTTCTCCTCCTGCAGTACGCACAGTTGTAGATGAGCTTTCTTGTTACTGATCTTGCCTTGGGTATCCAGTAGTGAAGCCGCAGTTCACTGAGCGTCTGCTCCAGACCTGCGTGCAGTGCCCGTCTGTGGACATCGGTGACGATCAGTCTGATCACGTCATCGTTCCTACTGATGAGGAGAGGATGACGACAGGTCTCAGCCAGTGGGGCATTACGGAGACGTCCCCTCGCTCGGAGCAGTCCCCGCTCGTCGACATACGGGGAGAGATGGAGAAGCGTGCTGTCCTTCGGCAGCCGAGATCCACTGGCGACAGCTTGCAGTTCGGCATGGTACGCCGCCCGTTGGAGCTCTCTGAGGACGAACACCTCAGCTGACTGGACCTCAGCCGACGTAAGAGCTCCACTTACACGGCTGTCTTTACTCCGCCTGGCGTTCTCGCAGAATCGCAGCACCCAAGCCACCGTGCGTTTGTACTTCACCCACGATGAGTACCGGGAAGGATCCACCAGTGGCCCCTCGCTGCTCTGTGCTGCAAATACTGCTTCATTTGGAGTCTTCATTTCTGCGTCTTCTGCGCTTTGCGTTGACGTGACGCGTTCCGGAGGCCATTCTTCACGATCCTTGGTCAAGAACTCGGGGCCCGACCACCACAGTGAGCATGTCTGGAGGTCCGGGCCTGACATCCCGCGAGAGCAAACGTCTGCTGGATTGAGCTCACCGGGAACATGGTGCCACTGCTCAGTCTCTGATGAATCTTGTATTTCTGCGATCCTGTTGGCGACGAAAGTGTGGAACCGACGACTTTCGTTTCTTAAGAACCGCAGCACCACAGAGCTGTCGGTCCACAGGAAGATTTCATCGAGACTGCACGTGAGCTCTCCTTTGACGAAGTTGGCCAGCCTCACCCCCAACACAGCAGCCTGCAGCTCAAGGCGAACAATTGTCAATTGCTTCAAGGGAGCGAGACGAGTCCGTGACATGATGAAGGAGGTGGTTCGTGCCGTCGGCACATGACATCCTGAGGTATGCGACTGCACCAAAGGCCTTTTGGGATGCGTCACAAAAGATGTGAAGCTCTCGACCTGTGACTTCACCATCCGGCGGAACATCAGCCGCGTAGCATCGCTGGATCTCGATGGTCTCGAGATGAGGCATCTCCGACAACCAGTTCTCCCAAGCCAGGAGTTCTTCTCCGCTCAGCTGGCAGTCCCAGTCGAGCTTCAGCTTCCAGAGGTGCTGGACGAGCAGCTTGGCCCTGAGAACAAACGGAGAGACGATTCCAATAGGGTCGAAGACCATAGACAGTCTTCTTAGAACGCCACGCTTGGTAGCTGGGACGTCCATGTCTGTTACCTTCACGCCGAGAGCATCGCTACCAGGCCTCCAGACGCATCCCAGAGCACGCTGAGTGCCCTGGCCGAGATGCGCCAAGTCGAGCCCGGATGCACTCATTTCATCAGCTGGGACACCTTGGAGAGCTTCTGGTTTGTTCGTGGTCCACTTCGTCAAACGGAAACCGCCCTTGGCCACCAGCTCAGTCACGTTCGTACACATCTTCCTCGCCTGTTCTACATCTGGAACCGAAACGAGCAGGTCATCCATGTAGAAGTTGCGCTTGACAGATTCAACAGTGGCTCTCGACTCATCTGTGTCCTCCTCATGGTCCTCCGCCGTTCTTCGTAGAGCGTAGTTGGCTAGGGTCGGGCTACATCGGGCGCCAAATATGACGACCATCATTTGATATGTATCTGGAGGTCTGCTCCTATCCATGTGCCGCCACAAGAAGCTCAGCGCCGGCTGGTCCTCCACTCTCACCCGCACTTGGTGGAACATTGCTTCCACATCGGCCACGAGCGCCACTCTCTCCTGTCTGAACCTGATCAGAACACCAACCAGACTTTGCAGGAGATCAGGGCCGGTGATGAGGGCATCGTTGAGGGAGATTCCTTCACAGCGGGCAGCGGCGTCGAACACTACGCGGACTTTCGACTTGTTCGGGTTGCTTACCGCGTGATGGGGGAGCAGCCATCTCTTTTCGCTGGGCCTGGCCAGCTCCTCCGGTGACACTTTGCGGGCGTAGTTCTTCGTCACATAGCCCATCAGAACGTCTTCATAAGCGGCAGCTTTTGCTGGGTCACGAGACAGGCTCCTCTCCAACGATTGCAGTCTTCTCTCGGCCATCTTCCTGTTGTCAGGCATCTTCACGCCGTCTTCTTCCACAGCAATCCGACCTCATAGTGACCATCTCGCAGCTTAGTCATCTCGTTGAGAGTAGCCTGCGCTCGGATGTCATCACGTGAACGAGACACTTGCCCTTCAAACATACTGCCGAACGACTCAGTAGCCCAGAAATCCTTCACAGCATCACAAAGATCCGATTCCTCAGTGGCCCGATGAATCAACATCACATCTCGCACTTGTCTGGGAACAAGCTCAGCCACAGATCCGGTGAGCGTCCAACCGAAGACAGTCCTGATTGCTACAGGATCCCCTGGGTTTCCTGTCCTCACCTCGAGCTGGAGAACTGCCTCGATGACGTTAGCCCCTAAGAGGAGCTCTACCTTCCGTCCACGGCAGTCCGGTAGCTTCAGGCCCTGGACATGATGCCAGTGCTTCACTGGGAAGTGAGGCACCGTCAGATTGATTTCCTTCACTGAGAAGGCTTCCGGCACTACAACTGCGTAGCCTTCATCTCCGTCAGTGATCAGCTGCAACTGCAACCTCCTCGTCCTCTGCTGGGAGCCACTGCCTTCCACGTTTCGCAGCCGAAGTGTCTGCTGCTCTCCCTCCAGACCAAGTTCTTCAACAACATCCTCTGCAACCAGGGACGTCTGAGAGCCAGGATCAAGGAGCGCACACACCTTCC